TTATTCAAAAATAAAATCATTATTGCTTTCTTAAAAACACATTAAATTGTATTATAACATCGATAGAAACAAAGAATAAAATAGAACATTAAAATCGAGATGTATCTCGCTGCATTGCACGAGTACCCTTTTAGTGTGTGTATATATATATATATATATATATATATATATATATAAATTACGGGGACCAAAAACATAACTTATTTTAATATATATACAAAAGAGGTAACTTTTTAATATACAACACACACACCCCCCAGACATACACACATACATCATATCCGTCGTGTAAAACCCAAAAATTTAAATATATATTAAAAAAAAATATTATACGAGTCTTTAAATATATAACTTTTATTTATTAAATTTATTTGAAGTGTTAAAATATTTATGTGATTAGTTGAAGGAATAATTATCGAAATTTTAAAATTAGAAATGACCAAAATTGAAATAAAATGTTGATTTAGGGGTAAAAGTGTAAGTCTTATTAAAGTAGTGAAATCAGGGGGCTGGTGGTAAATGTTAGAAAGTTCAGGGGAGCAAATGTCATCTTTTTTAAAGATGAGGGACCTGTTTTGCCAACAGTACAAGTCTGTTTGGAGAAAACGACTCATCAGCCAAAAACTCGCGATTTGTTCCGATTTCGTCAACTAATAAGCCAAAACTCTCGCATATAAATATAGAGCACCAGCTTAAGATCATTTTGGTTCAAATAGCTAAGAAAATGAACGAATATTGAGAGAGAAATCTAAGTTTGAAGTTTGGGTTGAAAATCTCGGTGTTCCACCAATTTTTTAGGTGAGATTCTTAACTAAATCTCATGGTTTTTGTGTCTATGATTTCGTTTTTAAATACTCTATCGAACCCCAGTAGCCTCATGTCTCATATTTGTGTTTTCGTTGTTCGATTTTTATGTTTTAAATTGTTAAGTTTTAGTTTTAAAAACAAACTTTAAATGAGTAAATGAAACTCATTTCTTGATGAAAATTCGTGTTCTTTATGTCAAAGTGTTGGTAAAAATATTACCAAGAGTTTGGTGCAAAAAGAATGAAGACAAAACGTCAAGAAACGAGCTATTTTCGAGGTTGAAAAGCTCCAAATCGTGCAGCCATGGCTGCCTTATGCGACTGGGTCAAGCGTTGGGTCGGACGGGTCGGACCCAAGACCCGCGTCCGTTTAACTTTTAAAAAATAGGGATAAAGGCGCGCATTGAGGGCGGAGATCGAACCCGTGACCTCAACTTCATAGAGTCAAGGCATTGACCAGTAAGTTAGCCTTGTGTTTTGTTAATCTCATGCATTTATATTATTAATATGTACTTAACGTCTGAGTTTCAGAAATTACCATTTAACCCCTGAAGTTCCAGAAAATATTTTTATTCAATATAATTTTATGAGACTTTAATCAAGTCTGTTATATTTTGTAAAATGCAACCTTTGACCCAATTTAGATTATTTATCTCGTTAGTTACCAAAATGGTTCTATAAATGGGAAATCGGTATTTTAGCAATACTTTGCGTATTTGCTTCCAAAATTTACCGAAATAGCCATATATCTTGGGGATTGGTCTATGAACTTCATTTTTATATTATTATTTTTATAAAATTACCAAAACGACCCTATATTTGGAAATCGATATTTTAGCAATATTTTACGTATTTGCTCTATAAATTACCGAAATGACCCTATTGTTCAAGAAAATGTGAAGTGTATTGCATATTTTTATAAAATGAACGAACAACAATTAATATTATAACGACGTCACATTATTAATAATATTTCAAGAAAACATTTGAACGAAACATGAGACATGATGGCATCGGGGGGTTGATCAATAGAAAAAATGTTAAGAAAAGTCGTGTTAAGATGATGCATATGTGATTTATGTTGTCACTTGCACGAGATGTATGTTGCATGTCACGATGAGATTTGCATTAATGAGTGAGTATTGCAAACAAATGATATGCAACTAGTATGATTCGGCAAGATTCGTCCACCGTACGGGGTGGGTTGGACATGAAAGGAGGGCTTGCAATTCCGAGGTCTTGGAGTCCTCGTCCATAGAATATGCCACATACGCAAAGAAACGTGACGAGCTGAGGCCTCACTTGCAAGATAATAACTAAAATACACTAAAACATTAGTTTAAGAGAAATAGGTTAAGATTTCTTTTAGCCTAAGCTTAAACTTTATGTGGGTTCTAGAACATGAGAATTTGGGGTATTACATTTTTTTGCATCACAAGAAAGTTTGATTTTCATCAATAGGTGACGTAGTGTTTTCCTTATGGTCTGTAGGAAAATGGTGCACATTATACACACTAGGGCCATCAACCGAGGGAGAGGACGCGGGCGTGGGCCTGGAAGGCGCAGGACACCATATGGGCTAGGCCCAAATGGCGGGTCAGTGGATAGTCATCGCTCTAGTGAGAGCCATGGTGTGAGACACAAATCAGGACGAGGCACCCCGAGTGGCAACCTAATACCCCCACGGGGTACGTTATCACAAGGGTCGATCTAAGAGGAAACCTCGTATGAGCCATCCGAAGATTACACGCCAAGCTCTCCTACATGCTCAAATTTGGAAGAAAAGATAGTGGCCCTTGAAGGAACAATTGATGAGTCAAATGATAAACTGTCCCGATCCTTAAGAGAAAATGAGATGATGAGAGGATGGCTTGATAATCTTCAAAGGGCACACCTCAAGACACTAACTGAAAATGGTAACCTGCTGGAGGAACGACACATATTGAGGTTACAGTTAGAGCAAGAGCGGAGAATAGCCCTTAAGACTTGGAGTACATGTATTGGAGATAGGTCTCGTTTCTATAAAAGAGTAACCGCAAATTATGTAGGTATGGTGAAAGGGTACCTTACCGCTTGGGTCCAATGCTGCAGAAGGGGTCCAATAGTTAGCACATTGTGGCGTTCCCAGCCAT